ACTATAAAGAAGATCTTTGTAGACTATCTCATAAAGTCTTCAACAGTAGAGGGACTGAATGAAAGGGTTTTTCTATGTGACTTAAGTACTACTGGATACAGGCAGAAGAGTAAACGCTAAAACAGGGACTCTTACCGAGGCAGAGGGAGAACAATGGGGTAAAGGCACCAATCTAAACATGGCAAGTGACTCTGAAAGCGGGGGAAATTTCACCACTGAGCAAGCCTGCGACAAGAACGAAAAAAAAAGAGTTGTTATCCCAAGGAGTACAATTTCATTACGCACACACAAACACACCCACACACACTCAGAGACACAGATGGGAGTCAGTGACCACAGTCAGTAAACTGGCCTGATCTCACCGACTTTGCTTGTTAGCCCACCGTGTCAAACGCATCCAAGTCAAAGCTAGAACAAACAGCTCCTGGCTCCTGTTTCACATCAAGTCCACATAAATGCCAGCGCCCCTACATTGAAACAGGGTTTTTTTTCCCAAAAAACATACAGCAGAGAAACAGTGAACTATACTTGTCCCTGCAGAAATGCTTCTCTTGCAGCTGGTGAAGTGAATCTCTAGGGTTTGAAAAGACACTCTTGCTCACTTTAATGCCCTTTTGTGCAATCACAACGCACAAATGTTTTGTGATTTGATCTTTATAAGTGGCAAAAAACATAGAAGTCAACACGACTCATTTCCGTTGTGGGTTGTGTTGCAAATGGACGTAGTTCAACAGAGGAAGACGTTCTTTGGAAAAAGCAACAACTTGGATAAACATTGTCATGAGGGAAGTGAAGAGACAGAATATAGCTGGGTTTGTTTACCAGCAAAAACGTACATAAAAATCTTTGAAATATCCGTGTGGAAGAGTGATAAATCAGCTGTATGTATTAGCTTGAAAACTGTCCGTGGAAATTTCTTTCATGACAAATGTGTTCAGTCTGTCGCTTCAACCCACACAAGCTCCACCTGAGCTCTCAGAGGTTAGGTTTTATCTTCCATCTGTACCTACGGAAACATAGCATGACAAAAAGGAGGGAAATGTTCGTAAAAGTTCCCCCGAGGGCTTCCAACTGGAGAAAGGAGAGCGTTTGGAGGTGGATGACAGACAACTGGGGTGTAATGGCGTTGAATGGCATGTTTAGTTTAAGTTCTTTCAACTACAGCTCCACAGACTCCCTAACTCGTTACTTAATCCTCTGTAATGTAGACTAAAACCACAGAGGAAACATGGAGAGTGATATTTAAGCAAAGGTCATTTTGGGTACTCCCACCCAACCTGACAATCTGAAAGAATTGTAATTTAAATAGCTACATTTTCCAGTGGCGGGCCATGCATTTCACAACTAGGGCTGTACTGTCCTTTTTTAATCATATCAGACCTTAATAGCCATTTTATGGTTAGAATAAACATCTTATTAGGCAGAATTGTTTTGTAATTCTTTTTTTTTATTCACCAAAAATTGTGTTTTTGAAAAAAATCCTGCTTTCCCTCCTCAAGAAGAGTTACACTCAGTTGTACAGATTTTTATTTTAAGTGTGTGTTTAGAAGTCCTTTCCTATCGCCGTCAAAGCTAATGCTGACTGGAGCGCTTGCCCCGCAGTATGTCTGGCATAAGTTTTATTCATTTCAGGGCCCAAAATGTCTGTCTGACAGAAGGAGACGACTCTGGGATGTTCCTCGGAGCCTGTGAGCTTGGAGGTCAGCTCATAGCGGCAAACAAACCCTTTTCCCGCCTTTGACAGCCTTTCCAGCTTTAGCAGTTAGCCCGACCTTTCTCAACAATGTCCAGCTTTTCTTGACAAGTTCGTCTTAAAAATGACTTGGACAATAAAACTTACCACCAAATCCATTTATTTTCCACCTTCGGCCATTGTGGCTTGACAAAACAGCTTCTGAACCAACTAAACTATATTTTGCTCTTGCGGTTCTCTACTGATGCAGCTTGCTAGCTTTAGCTAGCACGCTCTCTGCCTGTCCAATCAAAAGGTGTTAATTCGCTGACATCACCTTGTAGGCTTTAATTGGCCTTCCGTCGCCAACTCAAATCTGATTGGTCGAAGCAACAGTTTCAGTGTTACATATTTTATGCTACCAGGCTCATCTTCTGTCATATCAGTTCCCTCTGAGTGGCTCTCATTAACCTAACCTGGGTTCGTGAGGACTGGATATCTTTCTGGTGGCATCACAAATGAACAGATAACATAGAACACAACAGGAGAAACCAACACCGAACTTGCCAGAAATCGATTTTATACTGCTTTCTTAACAGAATCTGGAGGTATCTTCGGTTGAGAGCCCATACCGCCATGAACCTCACCACTGTATCAATCTTTTGTGTGTCAGTTGATGTTACCACCCCCTGGGATTTAGCTAAATTATTGATCCCAAAGAGTAAAAATCAATTTTTTTCAAAGAATTTAAGATAAAAGAAAAAACCTGTGGTACTTTGAAGGGAAGAAACTTTGATGGATGGTAGAAAAACAAAACAAAAAACAGATTTTTCATTGCCTTTTACTCTTTTATTTACTTTTCTCAGATCTTTTAAATGTGAATCAAATGACTGTCAGGTGAGCAACAGCCACAGGGGATTTGGCCTGACCTTGATCCACTCTCAGACGCCGAAAACAAATTTATAAAAAAGCAGGCAGATCTTCTTTTATGATTGTTTTTTTCTTTCTTTTGTAAAGTATCAACAGCTTTTATTTTTTTCCCCTTCTTCCCTATTTTAATGAAAATTTCCAAACTACATCTGCTGTAGTCAAACAGCTCCATAACACAGATGCTACCAAACAGCTTCGGTGATGAGTGCCATTTACGTACAACCCGCACAAGAAAGACGATTCTGGAACAAAGAAAGCGGAGGAATGAGGAGAGTTTGGAGACAGCTCTTCATCATATATTGATCAGTTTATTCATTCAGTCGGGACATGTTTTTCAGTTGTCCCAGAGTCTTACACAAAGAAGCCATTGTGAGAAGTCCAATCTCTTTTGACCAAAAAAGACAACAAAAAAAAAAACAATAAAGAAAGAAAAATCAGTATGTGAACATAAAAAAAAAACAACTCCACATAACAGTGAAGACACTTCATGTTTCTTTGTGGTTCGAAGAAGCCAATTGAACTGAAATCATCTATCAGATTCCCAAATTAATCCGCAAACGTACCACTTTGAGTACATTTTTTTTATTTCACTGTACTTAGGAGGACGACGATTGGGAACCGGGGCACGATTAAAAGGTACAAAAATAAACGCAAACGGTATTTTTTTTAAAGAGAAAACTAATCCGTGATGAGCCAAACCGGGTGGGTTTACAGTAAACGCTCGCATGCACGATGACGCAGGCACTGAGCTTGACTCGCCGTCTTGCTTCGTGGGTCCTCGGTGATGAGACGAAAGCGTTCTGGGGACACTGATCTCTCCCAGCCAAGGCAGGCAGCTGTGTTCTCCGCTGACAGATGACGCACACCGTTCTGGAGGAGCACTTTTAACTCTTCGAACTGAGGCAAATATGGGCCAAGGACAAGACACTCAGGTGCTCATTAGCCTGGTTTTCCGTCATATGGAAGTAATAAAAAGCAACGGTAACAAATATCTTAACACACACGCACACAAAAAAAAAAATAGTGGCTTTACTCCAGACCCTTCCAACAGTACAATACATTATTCTCAATACAAGCTGATCATCCTACTCTATATTCTGTCCAGAATGACTCAGCAAGCCAGTGCTGAGCATTCCTGGGTAATGTAATAAAATCCAGAAAATACCAATCACAAGAAGCACTTATTTAGCTCCTTATATAAAACGAGAAAGAAAAGAAAAGCAGTATACAAAGAAAAACAGGAGAGAAAAAAAAACAAACGACAAAAATCAAGCACAAGTCGTATGATTTGTAATTAAGGCGATTTAAAATATTGCAAAATCATTTGGCCCCTGTGTCTCAAAACAGACTGCCACAACAGTCAGAGCTCCCCGACTCCTAATCGCTGCAAGGACCCAGAGGAGGGAAAGAGAATGAACAGAGCTTAGAGAGAAAAAAAAGGTTTAAAAAAAAAAAAAGGGGGGATCCTCTTTGGAGAGAAATTGACGTCATTTGGTTTAGTTTTGTCTCACGAGTGTCTTAAAGGGAATGGCGAGGACCTCCTCCTTCAAATCAAGTCAAATAAAAAAATAATGATAAAAAAAAAAAACAGACAGAAAACAAACTCTTAAAGAGTTTTGATGATTGTTCATGTGAGGACCACGGCTTTTTTAAAAATTCTTTTTTTTTTTTTTAAATGTAAGAAGGGATTAGGGAGGGGCACCTGGATTAGGAAAATAGAAAACAGTTGTGTTACCAACACTTTGATATGACAGATGACGATGTAGTGCACTGCGGGGGGGGGGGGGGGGGGGGGGGGGG